TATATATATATATATATATATATATATATATATATATATAGCTACAACAGGAACACGACTCACTCAAACTAAACGCCAAGTTGTCAGGTTCAGGGTAGGCCCTAGTATGCCTAGTTCGCACACAGTTAGATGGAAGCAGATTATCCCAATGCACTGGACAATTATTTACTTGATCATGATAAGTAGCAGACTATCATTATCTTTAAGCACAAATGAGTAAAGGCGTTTCTAACGTCCGGATAGTGTTAAATTTGGCTGCAGAAACATTTCGCATCGTCGAGTGTCATTCTAGGAATTAGTCACAGCTATGTTTAGAGAGGCTATCTGCAGGGATGCCAAAACTACACAAAAATGCGCAAAACAATCGGTACAAAGTGGAAAACAAAATGATGACATAAACCGAATCATAGAGACCAAGACTAACAGAAACGGTTTTATTAGTTCAACTGATACTCCATGTTCTTTGCATCATTCCAAGGAAACTCCGACTGATGTAATTAATTTTCGTTAAACAGTCACAAATTGTCTGACTAGATCTACGTGATAACGCCCATCTCGCTGATCCCGTGAGGCAGTCAAAAAAAGCAATCTGCTTTTGACTATCAGCATGTCAAATGTGTCAGCTCTGTTCCTTGAATTCATTAACTTTCAAATGGAGCAAAAATCCTATAAGCGAGAAATATGTTAATGAGTTATTAGCAGTCTACGTTCATATATTGTCAGAAGAATCCGAAATACTGTACTCTAATCAACAGGGAGACAGAAAACAACATATATAACTGTTAATTGTCTATTTTTCAAACTCCTTCCCTATGTGTTTGTAAAAGCAGTGTGGCGTCCAAACTATGATTTACAGTAGGAGTATGAAGAATTGAGTCGTGGAACTGGTTTCAGTTGGGACCCAATGGGGGGGGGAATCGGTATTGCTTAGGAAAGAAGAGAAATATCTCAAAGAACAGAAATCTCTGGTTGACCTGACTATTTCACAACGTATCCCGTCAAAAATCAAAACATGCGCGGTAGAAAAACAAAAACAACTGGTATGCTTTTCTGAAACCATCTTTCCTATATATGTGCTCAAATCTCCTTTTGATTTTTCGATTTTGTTTTGGACCATACATTGTGTCAGATTTCGGAATAAGCATCCAGTTGACTTTAATGTGAGTAGTAATACGAGCTTCTCCAAAACAGTGAGTCCGTAAAAACAAGCATTGCACAGCCGATTAAAAATTTGTGAAGGAGGTATGTGAATGATTGGAAGAGAGGTTACTGGATACGCATACGCGATAAATGGGAACCGGCCGTGAGCGACGAGGGAGATGTAATCCAGCTATTCAGATGCTACTTATAATGTGAAAAGCCACCTTGTAGATTTTTGAATTAATATCCCAACTGAATATCAGTTTAGGGTTCAACAATGTGTAAGATAAAGCTTTGAGTACCGTGTACTNGGTCGAGCTGTGATTTGGTTGAACGAGTGGTCACGTCCTGGATTGATATGAAGATATGAAAGCTTCGACCAGTATATTTGGCCATGTAAAGCATGCGTGATTTCTCAACTCAGGTTTTCCGCTTCATCTTACACGATCGTTGGAATCACTCAGCAAAATCAACAATGAAGTTATTGCATCTACTCGTTTACCGTAGCCGCTCTGGGTCTAATGTCAAATTTTGGGCAAACCACCCAAGGAGAAGTGACGATCAAACTATCAAAAGCGACTACGCGGAATAAAGGAAGAATATAATGCGGTACAAGAAGAGACGTTCAGAGGCGAAAACATGTGTTCTGTAATTCATCTTCTAGCCTCTACAGATCACATACGGAAGCGTTACGTAACAAACGACTGGCGATCGCTTCCTCTGTGGCTACAGTGTGAAGACCCAATGATCTGGATGGCTGAGAACAGATAACTTTTAAGGCTGATCCAAGCGTTACTTGGTGACCTGAGCCTACTAGGAAAGTGAGAATAGCGCTTCTTGTGACAACTTTACACCGCGTCGAAGGCATTGCTCCTTAAACAGCTAAGTCAGTTGCTTAGCCGCTCGGGAGACAGTGGTTGCGTTACAAACACAGCTACACGAAAATACTACCACAGATGAAGCGGGCGCGGGTAAGCTGTCTTCACTGAATGTTCTCGTTGTCGATAAACCTGTGAATACGCATGACAAACTAGCTACATTAAAGGCTGCTCGCCCTAGATGTTTTCCCAATGAGATCAGATGGGTAGCCTCTTTGAATGTCAGTTAAAAAACAGCTTTTTCTTCAGAGCTTACTCAATAGGTTCATATATCATATATCTTTTTCCTGGGTTTCTTTCGATGGACCTTTCAGGGTATCTGCTTTCCCTGAGAATCTTTTAAATATTACCAAGTTCATCTGCAAACGTGGATTCGGAGCACATCCTTCGTACATGCGAGGCGAAATACCGAGTCATGTTTCTCCTTTACCGAAACGGCACGAAACAGAAAGGTGGTGTACTGGTCGGTTGACATTTCCTTTCTGTATACCCTTCGGTTAAGATGTTCATCAACTGCTCTATGTATTTCAACACTGAAAAATACTAACTTATTATCTTCCAATGCTACCGGGACGAAACGAACGATTTGTGAGCCATGTTAAATATATGCGTGACGTGGGTCAGATCATTCTATCTGTCGGTTATGCGAAATATGTCTTCAACATAGCGCACTTAGAACTTTCTAACTTCGATTCCATAACTGAGTTATCCAGTTTTGCCATCCATTCAATAACAAAGTTCTTCATAAAATAGAAAGGGAATGAAGAAACAACCCAGAAACAGTTCTCTTCGTTTTACAGTCGGTGCATTGAAATCGATTTTATTTTCTTCAATTTAGTTACAGATGGAGCTAACCATTTGCATCATCATCATCATCATCGTACAGTGAAATAGGGTGAGGTGAACTTCACTGATCGCTACCAAATTCGCAAGGCATACAAGGTTAGTGGTACAATTTAAGGTGAACAGGGAGTGGACCTATTTTGAGGGAGAGGAAAGAAGGTGAACCTCTATGGTCTACACACAGAGTACGCAATCGAACTCTGAATACATACCGCTTCAAGTATTCTGACCTGATAAGAAACGACAACAAGAACGCCAGTCTTGTCAGCTGGCTGCTATACTCTTTATTGTCCCCAACCAACCGGTTGTGGAGTCTTTCGAACCCCAACCTGAAGGGCGTGAAATACCTAATCCACCCAATGGCTCTGTGCTTTTCTTCATGCCTCGTCTCCACGTCATCTGTTGACCTCCACGTGTTTTCCTCCAGCCCGGATTAGCTACAGCGGATAAAATGCAATGCGGCAAACAACAGCTGGACATGCGCAATACGTACCCCAGCCAGCGAAGCCTACTAATCTGAATTCGGCGTCCCAGTAGGTTTATCCCTGATAAACTCCCAAACACGACGATTTATCGCCAAATTGCTAGCCCGTTCGCTCCATCTCAATTTCAGGGGAAACGAATCCGAAAAGGCCTCATAGGCCGTCTGTCTATTTACAGCCGGACTGGTTCCAGAGTTTCCGCATATCACATTACAATGCCAGATAACCAAACCATACAACAACAATCCTTCAACTTCTCCATCACAAGATTCGGGCTCGGGGTGTTACCTTCGGAGTGTTGCGCAGGTACCATTGATCGTATACCTCAAAAATGAGCACATTATAAAATCATTCGAACAAGGGATAGTAGCAGTAAGTGAGAACAGAACAGATGCCAGAAATTCCCGTAAGAACCCGTTCTTCTCCCATCATGACGAAACTGCGCCTCGACGTGGTGTGATGGCTTGCGTACCTCCATAAACCTATGAGCTACACAGGATGGCTCCTCACAGCCGCAGATAAAATTATGCATAAAAGGACAATGAATAGAGGTCAGACAAAGCTCAGTCTCACAAGGCAGCTGCTTCGGCACCCCCTGGCTTCCTTCCTTTATCCTCAAACGCCTTTGGAAAGGTCACTCAAGCAAATAAACACCGTGGAAGGCAGGTACCGCGCAAAAACCCCGCTAAATGAACGTAGGAGCGGGGCAAATGAGGCTTCCACTCGACGGTGGGAGAAGCCTTCTCATTTCACTGGACAGCTGCCGCCCGCTTAAGCTGTGCAGCCCCGAGTGAATACGGTGCTGTCCCGTCAACGTTCAGCAAGTCACATTACGTGCATGAGACTAAAGGCCGATACTGAAAAGCGGACGGACAATCAACGCATCACCGAAAAACACAAGTGATCGAAAATCAAAGGTCTTCCGTGACAGGTCTCTAGAAGCACCCACAAGGATCCTCCGATCACGCTCCCGCGTTGGATTTACGCCCCA